TCATGTGAAAATTCTTAGCCATTGACCTCAACTTCAATTGCCTAATTGATGCATATGTCACATGCCACTTATGTCACATAAATCACATAATTCAATTAAATAACATGTGACATAATAAAATTTAATTAATATCAAGAAATTCATAATTAGAAGAGAGAATTTATTAGATTAACCAATTCTAGGCTGCATAAAATTATATAAAAATTTTTATATAAAGGCAAACTGAAAACTAGGTCAAACTAATACATTTAAGAAAATGTTGACTTTTTATTTAATTACTCTCAAACTAAAATGAATTTTAAAAATATAATTTTACTACTCATCAAATGGACATAAAATTAACTTTTTCAAATTTTCTTGTACATTTTCTCAAAAGTTTATTTTTATACCAAAATGCCCCTAATGCACTAAACCTAAAACTCAGGCAAAATTCCAAATCTAATACAATGTGTGTACTATAAGGTGACAAAAATTAATAAAATGGTCCTAATTGACAAATAATAGTGTGTAACAAATTTATTCTATCAATTCTCCCACACTTATCTTTTGCACTCCGGGCAAAATCAAGTAAAAAATGTCCCAAAAGAAACACTAAAATAAAGAAACAATGCTTAAAGTCACCAAATTACTAGCTCAAGAACTTCTACAAATTATCCATCAATGTGACAATGATTAAGAAAGAATTATGCACATTACAAATAAACCCTTATGAAGAATCAATGTCAAAGAATAAGTCTCTTTAGGTTAAGTGTTTGCTCTCATCACTCAAAGTATATAGGGTATTCAATTTCACTCAAAATTCCCTAAGATAAAACCTACCATAAGTTTGTACCCCTATACATTTCCACCACTAAATAGCACTTGCAATCAAGAATCAAATGGACTTTATTAGTTCGCAAGGTGAGTAATGAAAGGACATTTAAGAAATGCATGTAAGGATAAAAAAGGGTTAGCATCAAGATAATGCTAAAGTCAAGATATACCCCTTAATATGAAAAGATTGAATGGACACCTTAACATAATGAGAATGGAAAGAAACTATAAGAAATAATGAAACAATGAAATTAAATAAGTTAGGCAACTTTTATTCTTGTCTTTCTTTTCTTTTTCTCCTTCTTTTCATTTCTTTTTCTAGAAACTTTGTTGCTTTAATTTTCATGTGTGTATATATATATTTTAATCTTTTTCTGCCTTTTTTTTCTTTTGGTTGCCCCTAACTCTTGGAAAACAATGGAAATAATGGATATAATGGTGTAACAATAAAGGATAAAGAGTAATGGATAGAAAAATGGCAATAGATATCTATTCACTTGATCTAGGACATGCAATGAATATTAAAAAGATATATAAAAATGTAACATGCATCCCTTAAGGAAAATAGGGTGAATATTTTTGGAAAGAATCAAACCAAAAGCTCAAAGTAGCTAACAAAGGATAATCAATAATAATGGGTTGGCTATTTAGCTCTTGGCTTTTTTTTATATGAATGTCATCTTTCATCTCCTACCAAACAAGTGTAAGACATGTGGTCTCAATTAAAAAGTAAAACAACTTTTAGAGGGTAACATCACTAAGGAATTAATCACACATGAGTGTTTGGCCTCTTTCATGAAAGGGTAATGTGCCACTCTAATCCATTAATTCAAGGTAAAAGAGTGTTCATTTTTCACCTATTCAATTCTAAAAATTATCACATTTTAAGCATCAAAATATCCATTCAAAGAGCTAGGTTATTAAGTAACTTCAAACAAAATAAAACAAAAACATTTTTTTTTCAATTTTTTGAATTTTTTGTTCAAAAGCTAGAGTAAAACAAAACAAAATACTTATTTCTCTCCCCCATAGTTAAATCATGCATTGTCCTCAATGTATGTATAGACTATTGATAAAACAAAACAAGATCAATAATGAATGCATAATAAAAGTATGGTGCAGAATTTTTTTCAAACACAAAAAAGTAAAAGGAACCAAACCAACCAAAAAGATGAAATTCTACCTTTACTAGGTCCATCTCCCCCATACTTGAACTATACTTATCATCAAATATATTAATCAAAGTAAGGTAAAAACTCAAGGTTAGAGAGATACAACCTTATCATGGTGGCTCAAAATAGGTGGTGGAATCTCTAATGATGAAATTGAGATCCTTCCACAAGCATTGATTGAAAAATTCTCCTTTAAAGCCATCCGGAGGCTTAGGCTCAATTGGCAAAGGTCTTAAAATATAAGCAATAAAGCATTGACCTTGCACAAAAGAAAAATCAAACAACTCAATCTATGGATTTAAATCATGTATGAATGAATAAATACACCATTAATGAAATGAAATGAAATAATAAAGTTCAAAGAAAACAACTCCCTTCCTTTATCCAATGCAAGATCATATGAAATGATCTATTTTGATGAGTCAAGAACAAGATCTTTAATTATGTGAGGAAAATCTTGAAATTCAAAAGCTTGAACTTGTTGAGTTCCTTCTTGAATAGTTTCAGCCTCATTCACCTCAATGACAAATCCATGAAGGTCATCATTATTCTTGGTGACATCCTCTTGAACACCTACAAAAGCAACAAAAGAACTTTCCTCAAGCATGTTTTGGTCTAAAGAAAAAGAATTCAAGTGAGAGGAAAAATTTCCTTGACAAACCATGCATAAATTGTCAACATCACAAGTACAAGAAAGCATGGAAGAAAACTATCACCAAAAGTATCATCAAAAGTAATACAAGAATTATGCAAATCAACCTCCTTAACTTCTTGTTCTTTCTTCATTTCTTTGTTCAAGTCCTCACTACTTGCCATGGTCTCCTCCACAATGCTAAGAGAGGACATGGCCTTAGGGGTTTCAAGAGAAGAATTTTCCTCCAATAGCTTGGGAACCTCATGGACATCAAGCTCGAGTGGAGAAAATTCTTTAATATTAGCCTCTTTAGTGTGTGTACCTACATCACAAGAAACAATACCCTTCTCATGCCTATTAAGTTCAAGCATAGTAGCCATTTTATTATCATCACATAATTCATGAGAAGGGGTACCATTCAAGTATGCATAAACATCTAAGCAATTTTGGCACACAAAAGTATCAATGCAAGAGCAAGAGACATAAGCGGTAGCAAGTATATATTCATGATTAAGTAAGGGAAATGTATTGTGTTCAATAGCCTCATCAAGGAAAGTGTTAATGGAATTCACTTCAAGTAGGGAATAATCCTCAAAAGGCCTTATCATTGCCTCATAGATATTGAAATTGATTTGATCTTCCCCATATTTTAAGATCAAAGTACCCTTATCCATGTCAATTAAAGTATGGGCTGTTCTCATAAAGGGTCTACCAAGAATCAACACATCATCCCCTTTTTTCCTTTAGACATATCTAGCACATAGAAGTCAACCGAGAATAGCAAGTCTTTTACACAAACAATCAAATCCTCAACAATGCCAAATGGTTTTCTTAAAGTCCTATCCGCTAGTTGGCATATTATTAGAGTTTTATGCATGCAATAAAGCTTCAAAGAAGTGTAAATGGACAGAGACATGACATTAATAGCCGCCCCAAGACAATAAAGCACTAGAAATCATGGTATTTTATATTTTGCATGGTATGGTAAAAGAAACCAGATCTTCACACTTAATGGGTAATTGAGGTTTCATTATTGCATTAATAAAAGAGGGTAATTGAACCTTAGCATTAGGTCAAAACTTTCTCTTGTTAGTGCAACAACCCTTAAGAAATTTTGTATACTTAGGAAAAATTTTCCCAACATCAAGAATAGGAATATTCACATGAATTTTATTGAAAAAATCTATTACCTCTTTGTCATAAACTCCTTTTAGTTTATGTTTGATCACTTCAACTTAAGGAAAAAGAAGTTTCCTCACAATTTCTTGATCTTTCTTGGCTTCATCTTCCTTTTTCTCCTCTTGCACCAATTATGAAATTTTTGATTTGCCTTCTCCTTGGCATTTTTATATAGGTTTATCCATCTCAATCTCCTCAACATCCTCCTCCTCATTATCCCTACATAATTAAGCATTAGTAGCACTAGAAGAAGCTTGTAAAGACAAGTCATTATGTAAAGATTCATCATGGAAGGCCACAGCCTCTCCCTCTTTTCTTCCTTTCTCAACATTTTCACCTACTTCCTTACTACTTCTCAAAGTAATAGCATTAATGGGTGCTCTTGGGTTAGCAACCGTGTTGGTTAGAAGTGTAGGTGTTTGTGCATTAGATGAACTAACATGATTAGAAAACATGCTCATTTTGGAAGTTAAAGCATCAACTTTATTATTCAAAATATCATAAACTCCCCTGAACATTTGATTCATCTCTATCATTTGCTTAGCCAGAAATTACACCTCATTGGAAGTACTAGAGGAAGGAGATTCAATGGGAATTTGCCTAGTGGAATTAAAGTTGGAGTTGAGAAAGTATTAGCTCTTTGTTAATAGGAATTAAAATTACCACCTTGAAATTGAGGTTGAAAGTCACGGCCTTGAGCATTAGGGAATGGTCCCTTTAGTTGGCTTTCTTGCAAAGCTCCACTTGAGTTGGCATAGGAAAAATTAGGATGATTCCTCCAAGAAGAATTATAAGTGTTTCTAAAGTTCCCTTAGTTGCCTTGGTTCCCTCTCCCATTGAACATAGCATTAACTTAAACATGCTTAAACTTAAATAGGGCAATTAGACTCAACATGCATAGGAGAATCATAAAAAGTGCATGTGTAAAGAACTAGTGTTTGAGAAGAAGCACTTAACATTGCTCACATTTTGAACTTGGCTCAATTAAGGAGCCAATATCTTACCATTCTTCAAGGCCAAAATATCCAATTGATTGTCATCCAATATGCTTGAAATTAAATTCACCTTCCTATCTCTTGTGCCATATTGAGAACTATTAGTTACTATCTTTTCTATCAACACCCAAGCCTTGTTAGGTGTTAAATCAATTGAAGCACCCCCACTAGCTACGTTAAAAATATTGTACAAGGTTCTCATTAAAAATTTGATGGTGAGGGCACTTAGCAAGTAACCCTTGAAACCTTGTCCAATATTTATAAAAGGATTCATCAGCACCTTGTTCAATCCCATAAATTTATCTCCTTAAATTTGTAACTTTAGAGGAGGAAAAGAACTTTTCTAAAAATAATCTTCTAAGTTTAACCCAAATAAAAACTCTAATGCGGGAGAGATAATTGAAATACCACTCTTTAGATAAGCCTTCAAGGGAGAAGACAAAAAGCTTTTGCTTGCACATTATCAACATTCACATTTATAGGTTTCATAGTTTATGCAAGAATCAATGGCAATCCTCACCTGATAATCCTTAGAATTTAGGCAAAGCATTTATCAATGAAGGTTTAAGTTCAAACATGGTCACATTAAGAGCTATGTACAACCCATAAGGATTATCATTCTAATTAGGGGAAGCTAATTGCTTAATGGATCTCTCATCTTGAAGATTATGCATTCCTACAAACTCTTTATCGATGTGTGCATTATCATGCAAGTTGTGACCCACATTTCTATTATTACCATTATTATTTCCTAACCCTTGGCCATTGCCTTGACCCATAAGTGGATCTACTCTTTCCATTGATGAATTGACCACTAGATGACTATCAATTTGAGGTTGTGGCCTCTTGAGTTTTTGAAGAGTTTTTTTCAATCTCTAGGTCTACTTCAACAAGTGTTTCAGGGTTAGCATGGGTCATAAACTAAAGGACTCAACCAAAGGTAAGACAAACAACACAAGACAAGACTCAAAAGAAAGAAAAATTGAACCCTAAATGGCTCTAGACACAAGAAACAAAAATAAACAAAACTAAACAAATCACAAAAGCACAAGAATTTTTTTTTGTTTTTTTTTAAATTCAACAAACAAACAATTAACCACAAAAAAATTACTAAAAAGTAAAGGAGAAAGAGTTAGAAATGCTCATTTGAAAACTCTTTACTTATTCTAGAAACTTGGCAGCTTGCTCTCTGAAGATAGTAAACTTGTGAATTTTGTAGCAACTAATCCATGCAAGAAATTCCCCTAAAAATTTTATGAGAGACAAAAGAGATACACAAGAAAATTTTATAAAAATTTTTGCTCAAAATTATATCTCAGTCATTCCCAGAATTCTTCAAAATTTGGTCCACAGTTATGGAAAAATAGGGTTTCATCTAGAGGACCTTGTGAGCTTCCAAAAACTTTGCCTGTAGGACAAAGGCAAAATTAAGACAAATTATCAACTAAGAAAAAAAAAAGATAAGACAGAAAGGAATAAAATGAGAATTGAACGAAGCAATTTAGACACATAGTGTGAAAATTATGCCCACTCAAAATTGCTACAAGATTTTGGAATCCTTTGAAAAGGCTTCCTGTTCATTGTAAGATTGTAAAATGTACACAAGTTAATTTAGGTGTCCAAAACTGATGAAATCACTTTTCAAATGAATCTAAGATATGTAGCTTTCAAATTAATCAAATTTCAAGTCTAAACTATTCTAGACTCATTCCGAGTCAATTTTTCAATTCAGCCTAGAAAAACTGAAAACAAAACACTATCCAGCACTACACTAGGAAAAATGAAAATGCAGTAAAACAAATTTATTTTTCCAAAATGAAAAAAAACAAATAAAACACAGAAACACACAGAAAAACTCAAAACAATTTTTTTTTATAATTTTTGAAAATTTTTCCTAGAAAACACAAATTGCAAATTAAGCATCAAGAAAACTATCCTAAGAGTTAAACCTAGCCTCCCTAGCAATGGCACCAAATTTTAATGTGATGTGTTGCTCAACCTTTAAAATTAACTAAAGATAAACTAAATGTAGTACTTAGGTCAACCCTAGGTCTTCCCTCAAAGAGGATGTAATAACCTTGGCAAATTTTTTAAATAAATATATATGTTAATTTGCTTTAAGTGTGTTTTATAATAGTTCTTGAGATAAATATGACAAGTTAGAGAGTTGATGTAGTGGTAGTTGAGTAGGTATTTATGTCTCAGGTTCCAAGCTTGAATCTGAAAGAGGCCAGATGAAGAGTTAATATTTTTTTGCTATGTGAAATTACCAAATTGCCCTTCTCCCATTATAATATAATTCCTTATCTTTTTCTTTCTCCAGCAGATCGGTGCGTGAGTCAAGAGAGCTATAGATTTCACCAAAAACTTCAAACCCTCTTCGTCCAGCTCTTCATCCATTATCATCATCCTTGTCATTAAACTACTTGCCGATAACCTTGAGAATATCGAAAATTCCACTATGAGAGACATCCGTTGACTGGTTGTTCTCCCCTGTTTTTACTTCATTCTCCCTTATCTTGCTGTCAGTGATCTGTGTGAACGTTCCAAGCTTCCTCATTATTTTTCTTTCATCTATCTCAGGTGGCTGTGAGTTCGCCGGAAGTCTCTTGCTCTTCTCACATTGGAGTCATGCAGTAGACCTCCTCTCTTCTTCTTCCTTTTAGCTCATTATATAGAGCTAAGTTTCATCTTGCTTCCTTGTTCGGTCTTGATTGAATGAGGTACAGATATGGGATTTTTTTTCTATTGCTACTGTCAAGTTTCTCAGCTATGTTCTTAGTTTGTTATGCTTCCTTCTATTCGATTTTGATTTTTGCTCTATTTTTGCAAATTTCATTTACATGTTGCTGATGAATGGAAGAAATCAGCTCACTGGAAATTGGTGGTATTGGTTATGAGATAGAGTTGATATGGATTTTGTTCTCTTCACTTTCTTTTAAATAGTACTTTGTTTTTTCCTCTTGCTCAGCTGTGAATTTCATTTTCCTCCTCCCCTACTATATGTTGTTAGTCCATCTGAGGTAAAGAGTCTTGATCTCTTCTCTCTTTCTTCTTGGTAACTAACACACTTGTGTGTGTGATGATATAATATTGAAATTGCTTTTCATCTCTTGATTTTCTGTTGCTGCCTATGATTGAATTAATAAAAATATGCATTAGTATTGAAGAATGATGGTGATACATTTGGGTCATAATTTTGGAGTTAAATTGATTTTGTTTGATTTGGTTGATGTTAAAGAATTTATTGAGGTAAAATTGGAAGAGACAAGCTTAGATATTGTTGGTGCCTATGAGATGTTATTGAAGGGCTTGTATGAGGAAATAAAATTTAACTTCTAAATATTGATGGAAAATATTGGTTTGAGAATTCACCTATAGATCTATAAAGGAATTTAAATTATGGACTTGCACACAGTTATTTGTATATTTGGAGCTTGTTTGATTTTTGGTAAATTGTTGAAGGTTTTAAATTGATAAGGTAGAAGTAATGCAAAGATTGGGAGAAAACTTTTATTCCAAGAAAATAGAATGGCATGGCTAAAGTTTTATGGAGAAAGTTAGAGGAATGAACGATAATGCTTGGATTAACTTTAAATCAAAAATTTGGTTTTGAATTTTAGATGGTGGTTGGTAGAAATTGTGTTATAAATTAAAAAGTTATTAGAATTGCATATATTTATATTTTATGGGGTGTGTGAAAGAACAAGACCCTGACAAGAACTAAAAGAAGAATACTTTCAGGAATTTAGAACTCCAACATGTAAGTGAATAGCATTCCTTTTTAATTTATTTTTATTTTAATAGATTTTTCATTGAGATATTTTATTCTTGTGAATTACATTAGTTTTGAAACTTAGAAATATCAATGCGAGATGGTTAAAGGATGATATTTGCATTTATTTCCTCAAGGAATGTGTTTCAAAGATTTATGAAATTATTTGGTTCATTAAACTCTTGAAATCCTTGATTGTTTAGATAACGCAAGCTTGTATATTATTTTATGAAAGACTATTTTCAACAAGTCTTAAATTGAAATTTAAGTTGATGCATGTGAGTTTGGTATTGAAAATGCAGATTATATTTCAAAAATAATTATTTTTCTCCCATGGTTGAAACATGATTTTTAAAAGGACTCTAAATAGAACATTACTGCTAACAGCAGTTCCGTTAGCTCGTAGCGCACTATGGTTAAACACTAGCTAGTTTGTTTCATGAGTTTTTATCTCATGTTTGGTATTCGTAGGCTTTATACTGGTATTTGATTCCGTGCTTGAGCCGCGTTTGGTTATTTACCCTTATGGGCTGTGTGTCCACATTTGTTTCATATCTTCGGCTACATTTGGTTATTTACCCTCATGGACTGGTGTGTCCACATTTGTTTTTGTGGTATAAGCCGCATTTGGTTATTTACCCTTATGGACTGTGTGTTCACGTTTGTAACTTGTTTTGTTGAGTTCTTAAAATTTTAAATGTTGACTAATGTGTTTTTGAAATTTACATGATTTTGGCTAGCAATTTTACCACTTTAAGTTATATGTGAATAAATTGTTTTCTGTAAGCATGATAACATAAATTGTTTTCAACTTACTTCTATTTAACAATTATGGTTATGACTTACAGGCTTATAAATTATTGTGGGATTATTTTTAATTAGTTGACACCATTATTAGACTTTATTAATTTAAATTTTAAGAACTTTTTTCATGGGAATGCTATTTACTGGAACACTTATTTTGGCCTCAGATTTGTTAGCTGACGCCAATCTCCCTTGACCTCTGAAGGACAAACTAGATATAGTGGGTGAAAATTTTTGATTGGTACTATTGCTTTCAATGTAAATATATAATTTGTATGTCTTTTTAATTGAAAAGAAAGAGTAGATGCTTCACATAGATTGTTGATAGACTTTATTTTGGTTTGTATATTAGTTACTGGCTGGAAGGAGCTACGCTCCTGATTTATGCTATTATCTGTAAAATTTTTGTTGTAGAATTTTTGGGAGATCCTAGTTATAGGGGAGGTTCTACCAAATTTTCTACAAAAATGTTGACACTTTCTTATGGTAATGAGTTTGAAGGAATTATTTTAATTCTCTTGTAATTTGATTATTATTTTTCTTTTCTTTTGTAAAATGGAATAAATGTTCATTCTGGGGCTTACGGGAATGTGTGAGTGGTTCACACTCATGCCACTCACACTTTATTTATGGGGCGTGATAGTTTGGTATTAGAGCCAAGGTTTTTATATGAATATAGCTATGTGGAGCAAGAAATTTTCAGTAAGGTCCCAATTATCATTATGAACCCGAGCA